GTGCCCCAAATGATAAAAATTTGTTATGAATCATTTATGAACTCATTCAACATTCAATTCTCTTTCCCAACGTGTTGAAAACACATGGCCGTCACAGCAGCTCCATCTGTGTGTCAGTAATGGAGAGGCACCACATATTAGAAGTCTCAGTGCTCTACGTATAAGAGTGAATTCAGATACTGTAGAATATCGTGTTGAAAATAGTTACTCCTATCTGCTAAAACAGCCTTTCTTCACCAAATGCGGTCACGTTTACTCGCGTTTGAAGGTCACTGCCGCTTTTCCGTTCCGATTTCTAGATTTCTCAACTTATCAGCGCATTCTCGAAAAGCTCTGATTTGTACCACGAATATTGTCGCTAAAAACAAAATAATGCAACATGTTTTTCTATATTACTGTATGATGGCCTTCGGTTGTCTATTTACGAGATTTTAAGAAAAATCGAAGATGGGGTTTTCTTATTATTCAAATTTCAGTGGAGTACGCTTTTGCCAATATGAGAACTTTGAGGCAATATATAAAAGTCTACATTTGCCCTGCGGCAGCAATAATTTATGTACCTGTTGAACACACTTAGAACGTGCCTTAAAACGTGTCAAGTTCGAAAACGCTGCTTGCATTACTTTCGGAGAAAAAAAAACGGGAAATACGTAACTTATTTTAAACTGTCGCAAAATTAGACATTTTTAAAAGCTATTCTCTTAAGGTCTGCAAACTTGAAACCATATGAATTCATTCCTTATTAGACATACAATTCAGGTAAAAAATATCTTCCTTGAAACAAAAATATTTGTCTTCTTATAGCATCTGCAATTTTCGAAAATGACAGGTGACGAAATTGGTGCCTCCGTGTTGGTGAAGTTTGATAGTTTTTTTCTCGTAAGTTATGCCGTTAATCATAAAACGAAGTTGACTTTCGGGCTACCTGGTGAGAGGCGCACGAAATATAAAATACTCAATGAAATCTAAAATATCAACTTTTGGACCCGTGTCGATCTCTCGTGGAACCACCCCAGTGCTCTTCCACAGACAAACTACCTACCGTAGGTAAAAGCATTTCTCCCAATGGGGCGGCTAGTGCTCCCACAAAATCAGTCAGCTTCACGGTAAGCTTACTGTGAATGGTCGCTATAACAATGTCTTCATATATCAGTAGAATGCTAACAACGTTCGTAATAAGTCAGCTGATTTTCGTGAACTCCTTGCTGAACATAGCTTCCCTGTATTATTCATACAGGAAGCAGGTGTGCGAGATGATTTCAGACTGTCCAACTACGTGATATATAAGTCGTCACGCCGAGTTGGAAAGAGCAGAGCGATGCTTTGTGTTAGAAAGGACCTGTCATCCTATTTAATAGTCAAGTGACTTATACCTGAGTATATGGCCTGTAAAATATCTTTAGAAATGATAGTGTCACTGTGATAAGCCTTTATCTATAATCTTCTAGCAAAAATATCTTTAGACAACCTAGTTAATGCTCTTGATATTGCGGACTCATGGACTTTAACGCTCATTATGTAATCTGGGGCAGCGAACATACCGGCTCTTGCGGAAATGTTATCGAATGTGCTGCTGAGAAATGTAATTTGACAGTGCTAAATGATACCTCTCCAACGTTTATCAGAGGATATCGTTACTCCAGTTGTATAGATGTTATGCTATGCTCACATGACCTTATTGAGTGTTCCGAATGGTCAATGGATATCGAAACGCATGGTAGTGATCAATTCCCAATTCTGGTAGGACATGGACTTACGAGGAGCACAAGGACTCCACGCTGCTCAAAATATACTAACTGGCAACATTCTCGTCATCGCATAACAAATGCATTAGGCGAAAAACCAAACTTAGAAACTCTTATTACCGAGCGACTTTCACAACATTAGCAGCAAGCAAGTCATAGCGCCAAATAAGTATACTGCAGTTGACAGGGAATACGGCCACTTAAAAGCAATCGGGAAACGAGCAGAACAGGTTTACCGTAGCAGCGGGAAACTCGAGGACTACAAGATGGCACAGAAAGCTCATGCAAAACCACACCGTCGCTTACAGAAATTAGGCAGCAGGCGATGGCGACAATACAGCTCGTCATTTAGTCTTTTCACTCATGTGCCTAAAATATGGGCGATCGTCCGATCCTTCAGTGGTCTTGTTACCCAGAGCCGCCACCCTTTTCAAGCTCTTGCCATAGCCCTGAACACTCCACCAACAAATGTTGCTGACGAGTTCTGTCAGTTAATAACCAGACCAGGAATTACAATTTACAAGTTCCAGAGCACTTGTCCCTCAAAAGGTGCGAGCGTGTTTTATGTTGGAACACCCTCAACTTGATGGCAAGTTTAGCCTCGACGAACTTAAGTGTGCTTTTGAGTCCTGTCGTACAAAAATCGCTGCAGGACCAGATGGCGTTACGTACATGATGCTGAAGAACCTTGGACCAGCAAGAATAATGACACTGCTAGAGCTATGTAATGATGCCCGGATATCAGAGATTCTTCCCGATTCATGGAAATTCGGACAAGCAATTCCAGTCCTAAAGCCAGGAAACACCCCTTTACGTATAGGATCATTCCACGCCGCAGCTTCATTGTTTTCATTCGGCACTGTGCTGTTGCGTGCCCCAGCGAAGGCAGCCTAGAATTCCTAGGCGAGAACGGCAGCGTCTACGGCTTGTAATGCGAGAGGCGGCGGTGAGCCGTTCTCGTGCTGATGCTGATAACCTCTGATGGATGGTGCTTACCTACAAAGGGACACGGGCCAAGAACCGGGCGGCAGGATACTTAATTGAAACTAAACTGAAAATGAAGCCAATCTGAAAAAGTAGCTTAAAATAATACTACCAAAAAACAAAAATGTGTGCCGAGCAAGCGGTAGAACCATCTTTTGTTTTTGAAAGACATAACTACGAATTATAAACTAAGGATCTGAAAAGGTAGTGGTTCACTAGCATGGTAATCTTTTAGTTGCGTTGATGTAATCAAACACAGCGGAGCATACATCCCTGTGGCAGTAACCAAATGAAGTTCCGCCAAGTGATAAAATTACTGCTAAATTTACTTGTATTCCTAGCTTTTGTAAAGGGGCTACTAAAAATCTTTTTCTCTGATAAGAATAACGATGACAGAATAAAAAGAAATGTTCAATTGTTTCAATTTCGTTGCACCAAATGCATAGCGGTGACGCCTTGAGCTGGGCTTTATTAAGGTAATAATTTAGTTGTGGAACTGCACAGCGCAATCTGGTATAAGTGACCTCTAACTGGCGAGATACACACCACTGTTTATTCCAGCAATAGCTCAAAGTGTACGACGGTATCAACTATCAGGAAGCAGTGCGTGACCCACTGTTCTCACCGGAGCTTGCAGGGTCGGGAATAAGACGTGCCTGTCACAGCAAGGGGATTTATTGTTTGAATTATGGCTTTCTGTTTACGTTTTGCGCGTGGTAACCTCGTCTTTGGCCAAGCTATATTATTACTTTTTTTTTTCGATATCGTCGCAGCGAACGATACTCGTGACACACAAGACAAAAAAAATGATTTGGAGGTGCTTCATCCGGCTAAATAGCAAGAATAATGAAATAACATTTCACTGTTACATAATGTTCCGGACCTCGAACTTGCCGTATTTGCAGAAGAAATCAGGCTGTCGTGGCGATTATCCGGCCGATTAGCGCCGTTGCTCTCGCATTCAGCGGATTAAAACACTAAGTGCAACGCTGCAAGTGATTGTAGATTCACGCTATGTACTGTAATGATTCTCCGAATGGCACATAGGCGCTATACAAGCGAGCAGCACGTTTGCTCGTAATCGGCACTAAAGTTTCGCTTTCCGAGCTCGTCTATCGGGTGGCGGCGCGTCCGAAATCTGCTGGAGCCCCCCTCGCCGACGCCCTTTGCGCATGCGCAGGCCGCCGTAACATGCCCAGCATCGCGAGGAGTCTTCTACTCTTCCCTACTTCCGGCTTCACAAAACGTGACGTAACGGCCTCTCCAGGCCGCAGGGCTAGATTGAAGTACCCACCTGCTGAAAAGCCGCCGAATAAGCACCAGTCGGCAATACGGTGATTATTAGACGACATTTCTCACACCCAGGCTGCATAGTCCCATCAACCCGGACGTTTCATATAACCCAATTCATAACTTTCAGGGCGGCTCTTGCTAGCCTCTATCCACCACATTATCTGGGCGCGTACGGCAGCGACACACTGTCAAACACGGCACCAATCCTGGATTTTGAATAACCAACTCGAGCTCTATTCGAGCAGTGGGAGGCTATGCTTGCTCGTCACGAATGATTGACAGTCCCCAGTTAGAAAACAAATAGGTTTTCCTGCAGAGCTGCGTTTGAAACCGGCCCTCGAGCTCAGAGTGAAAATTCCAAACACCTTAAACTCTTCGAGAAGCACAGAAAAGGAGCGTCCCTGTGCTTGTGGTGCTCGGGTGCGTACAATTTTCCCTATTATGTACAAACTAGCCCAGCACTTCACCTACAGAGTCTTAACGATCAGCCTAAACATCCATGCTTGCGACAAATCAGTTATCAAAACATAAGAACATTTTGGTACATATGGTTTATGTGAACACGGCTCCGTCGAATTTCCGGCACCAAATAAAACCTTTATACAGGTCAACATTTCAAGCCAGCATGTAGGGTTATATACATATCGGGAAGATTCTAACATTGCGACAATTTCATGCCAAAGACTCCTTTTTGTGGTCGTGGATCTGCATGCCATGTGGGTTCACGGATTCAACAAAGAACATGAGAGACACCATATCTACTTTGAGAACGCAGCTCTGGAGAAAGCAGTAATCAACTCTCAATGAAAATTCTGCACGATTCTGGGGGCAGTTGCATACATTTGCTTGCCAGACTACACACATTTGCAACCAGACTTTTCTATCTTCAGTATACTACATCAGCTGCACAGCTACAGCACATGCGTCCACTAAAAGATGTACTTGTAGCAGTCTGCACACACAAGCAAGCACCACATGATGGGAGTTGAAAAGCCTTTATTGTGAACTCTGCCAATTCCATTAGCTACATGACAAATATGAAATTTTTTTTTCTAGCTTTTCTTTATCTGAAAACAAACTTGTATGAAAACAAAAAGGTATGAAATCAGACATGAAATGTGTCGGAAACTGCATGTCCTGCTTCCTCAGTCTTCCCACAGTCCATCGCAGGATGCCAGCAGCACGGCAGAGTGGCCAACCCTCAGCCCTGCACAGTTGGGACGCCATGCTTGCACAATGCACACCGCTGGCAGCTCTCAAAGGAGCCAAGAATACACACACATGCGATGCGAAGAAGGCCAGTTGAGAATGCTTTTTTAAGCTGAGAGGTGTGTGAACAGCGCTCGAAGCACGATGCAGTTTTCTGCTGGCAAGTCGATGCGAAGGTATCTGCGCAGTGGCCTGAAATGCAATGAAAGGCCCTACCTTTCAGCGCCTCTCCCGAGAGAGTGAGCGGCTTCCAGTGGACCTGCGCAAGCTGCGGGAGCGGCTACGACTGCGGCTTCGGGAGTAACGTCTTCTAGGCGAGCGAGACCTGCAAGGACAATTTAGGAATTTACCTTTTGCACATTTGCCAGCCAAGTGCAACCTTTACAGATAGGAAATTAACTGCTTTTCTTTTAGGCATTCCAAGTTCATGCATCTGCCAATCAGTTCATCCGACAGCACCGACCAAGGTTTCTGTCAGGCAATCGATCCGCTCGCAACAATTGGTTAACTTTGCCTCAGACTAACACCTCATTACTTGCTTGAAAATACCCATGCAAAGAATGTGCAACATTTTAACAGCAGAATATAGTGCTGCTTCAAATCCAGCAGGCCCAATTCAATACAATGTGCGTATTTATAAAGCCCTAATTTACACATTATCAGATTGCCTACAATATAACACCATCCACCACATTGTGCTGCCTCCCAAACTGACACTAACAACCAATGGCTTGATAGCCATTAACCAAGTGCTGTTTGCAGCACACTAAGTGTTAACCAAAATATTTAATGAATAGTTGCAAAGCTACACAAAAAAATTCAAGTGTGAGGCGGCACACATAGACCTAGGCAAACAGTTAAACCTTCCCTGACAGCCGCTCTCTGCACTATGCCCGGCCTGCAACAAGAGAGGGTCACGGAAGGTGGCCCTTTTCGAAAGTCCTGCAATCCCCGCGAAAATGACAGCAAACGGGTAACCTGTGCCAGTTGGCAAAGAAGAGCGTTGAGCGCCGACCGGCCAGCTAGGCGAGCGGTGGCGTAGCGAAGGGGGGCACGAGAAGGGAAGAAGGCGCCTGCCACCAAATGCGTTGCCATCCCCCAGCGAAGGAGTGTGTTCGTTGGTTGGGAAGCTGTTGGCGCTGGCATTGCTGCCTCGATTCGCTCGCACAGGGGCGGCGTCCTGATGTTTTCTTTCTCAAGGGGTGAGGGGGGTTGGTGGCTCAGCCAGCCGCGTCGGCGGCAAACCCTTCCCGCGCAGCGAGATAGAAGTGTGGTGGTGGTTGTTGTTGTTGTTGACGAAGGAGAAAGGTGGTGGTAGGTTGGGTCACTTTAGTCCCTCGGGGGGCAGAGTTAGAGGTGATGTCGCATGCCCTGAAAGGTGCCCCATCACGAGAATCATTACAGGAACCTGCACACGGGAACGGCCCCAGACGCCAAGCCCAGGCATCAAGTGTGGCTACACCAGACTAGGGCCGTTCGGGATTAAAGAAGAAAATAAAACACAAATACAAGTTAGCACATAGACCTTAATAAAAACACAAGGCCTCTATAAACTGGGTATCTTTAACAAAACAATACTTACTAAAGAGGGATGCCAAACCACAAAATTGAGTCACAAAACATATTGCTAAGAAACCGTGAAAAAGGAGTCGCTACATGGTCTCAACTCACCACCTAACCATTTGGGAAACTAATACACAACTGCCTGGGCTTGGGCACATCTCAATTTGCAATTCAGTAAGAAGGTTGACAGCAACCACATTCCTCACACTGCCCTCGTTCTATATGCAGTGATCAACGGACACACCTTCCACCACCAACATGTTAAGTGCAATCCTGGGGATACAAAACAAGGCAAGCATAGATAAGAAGAAACCAAAGTGTGACAGAGCCAGTTCAGCAGCTCTAAGCAGTGAGAAGAAAACACAGACATCACAGGCACACAGCCTGCACAGAAGAAACCTACCTGGACCGCCTAGCGCCGTAACCTCCGTAGCTAGAAAGGCAAAAGAAAAACAAAGGAAGGAACACTGATTTTGCATGCAATCATTAAAGAGGAATTTAATTAGTAGAGTTCATTGAATACATGACATTACACAAGCTCTCTTCAGTTTAAATGATTGCTCCATCTTCTGAAAGGAAGCCCCCAAGCAAAAAAGAAATCAGAATAAACACTCTCTGAAATCACGAAATTTCAGACATAATGTCATCAAGCTAACACCCCAGAGAAAAAGAGATCTGTATAAAGCCGCATACCCACTGTAATATACTGTTATATTATAGCGAGCTATTGTAAAATCTCGAGCAAGCACCCCCTCTTTTTCTTGCAAAATCTGAAATATGTGCAAATGACTAACTAGACACGTTCCCTCCCCTCATAGCATTTATTTATTTTTTTTCAACCTCCCCAGCAACAGAAATTGGCAGCAGTTGCTAGGAACCCAAGTCTGAGAATCTTTAGATATGTACACACTTTATCAGTGCTTTTACAGTGTGGTGCCACAGACGTGCATTCTGGGATGTCAAAAATGGTTGGAACATCATTTCTCCCTTGTCCTAACATGAAATTTTAAAAGAGCATAGCTGCCAACCTAGCAGCATGAAAATTCAGGAGACCTCAGCTTTTCTTGCATATGGGGAACCCAGAACCAGACATGTGTGCCTTCGTTGCTTTCGCCCACTGATACTGCAAAAGCATGGCATTTTCACATTTCATTTATTCCACCTTTAAGGCCCGGAGGCATTACATAAGGGGGGGCGGCGTACAAGGTATGTCGAACAACTCAACAAAACTCGAAGGGTTCCAAAACGTAAACATTCAAAGAACAATGAGAAAAAAAAAAAAAGGTACAATATGCAAAGTAAAACGCCAATATTACCAAATGCAAATAAAAAAGTAATGGTACAAAGGTAAGCTTCCAGAGAAAAGTGACGACAGTTTATACATTAGTTAAAAAAAAGTATTTAAACATTGGCAGGGAAAACAGCACATTCAGTTAGATTGCGACATGTGACATTTTAGCTTACTGCGGAAAATTTGGCGGTTATTACACGTGACTATATTATCAGGTAGTTTATTCCACAGTGTTATCCCATTGGGAAAGAAGGAAGTAATTTTAGAAGCTCTGTCATTGTGTTTTCGGCATTTGCAGACATTTCCCCGTCAATGACAGTTGTACCGCTTCGCGTCCTCACACTTCAAGAACATTTTCTGAAACAATGGTCCTGCGTCACTACCGTGAGCGGTGTTCCACAATAAATCCCAAGAATAGGCATTCTGCGTGAATCCCACAGTCTTCGCAGCTTTTTTTGGAAGAAACTTCTGACGTTGCCTAAACACGCAGCATGAACGTAGTTCTGATGCTTTTGTGAAGCGGTGTGCACTTTTAGGTGGGCCTTTCCACCATGCGAAACGCTTATATCACAGGCGGATTTAGTACACAATACCGTAATTACTCGAATCTAACGTGCACCTTCTTTCCGGTTAGGCGAGTTCATAAATCGCATGCGCGTTAGAATCGAGTACGAACAAAAAAAATTACGGCCAATCTATTGCCATCGGCAAATCTAAAATGGCCGCCCCCTACGTGCATCGGCATGGCGCGTCGTCCATTTCTGCCTATGTGTTTCTCATGTGCGGCACTTCGTACGTGTGCTGAGGAGTTCATCTAGTAGTGCATTAGCATCGACGGCGTGGAATGGCCGACTCCCAAAACTCGAGTGCACCACGATGCCGCTTTTAAAAGAAAAGTCATCGCGTGTGCAGAAACGGACGGAAATCGGGCCGCATCGCGGTCGTTCGGAGTTCCCGAAACGCGCGTGCGGGACCGGCGGAAACAAAAGCAGAAAATTTTCGACAGCAAAGCTTTACGCAAAGACTTCAGTGGACCACAGCAGGGTCGGTTTCCGCAAATTAAAGAGCTGCTCGGCGAGTATGTGCTTTAGCAGCGAGCAGCACAGCGGCCCGTAACGGCAGAACTGCTTCAAGTGAGGGCTATGCAATTAGTCTTAGAAAAATGTCTAATGCGGAGCCAGTTTAAAGCGAGCAGGTGCTGGCTAACTAACTTTATGAAGAGGAAAGGCTTTTCTCTCCGAAGGGGAACATGCATATGCGAAAAGTTTTGCGGAGGAGTACGATGAAAAGCTTCACAGTTTTCAGAGGTTCGCCCTAAACTTGCGGCGCAACAACGACTACCTGCTTGGGCAAATCGGGAATGCCGATCAGACGCCTCTTTACTTCGACATGCCTGGCACCACAACCGTCGAGAAGAAGGGGGCGAAGCAAGTTCGCGTGCTGACATCGGTCCACGGTAAAACTACAGTGACGGCAATGCTCTGTTACACGTCAGATGGGCACAAGTTGCCCGTACCTCATATTTAAATGGAAGACGCTCCCGAAAGGAGTCGTTTTTTCGAGTGGTGTGATCATGCGGGCCAGCGAGAAAAAATGGGTGCGCGTTGCAATCGATGTCTTAAACGTTTTTTTTTTTTTTTTTTTCGCGGTGGAAATCGGGTGCGCGTTACAATCGAGGGCGCGGTAGAATCGAGTAAATACGGTACTTATCACCTTTCTGCGAAGTCACAAAGCACGGAAACTCAGAGTCCACAAACACCTGTAGGTATTTGGCTTCGACGTGGCCATGGGCTTTCCAACTGAACACGGCTAAATACGCAACCCTACAACTACGTCACAAACACAACCAATGCCTAGGCAGGAGGCGTAGGTTTAGCGTACAAATTGCGGAAGCCAAGACGCAGAAGTACTATTAACTTTTCCCTCACCTTCTTTTGGTACGGTAGCGAGCGCATTTCGCGGCTGGGTGCCAGCTTTTTTTTTTTTTTTGCCCAGATATGCGGTACATACTTAACGGTACTATACTGCATGGTTAGAATAAACTAGTAGTGCACTGGCAAGTGTTCTTCTACAGAACCGCAACAGTAAAGAAAGGCTGACGTACCCACTTGATTAATAACTAAAATACACCTTGGCTTTTCGCGAGATTTGGGATAGCATTAGTATAATCGGCAGATGAGGTCGTAATGAGGGAGAGTCTCCCGGACAATCGGTAGAGCTGGCAGGTATGAAAGAGGCTTCCCCCCCGCAAACCAGTAAAAGCAGTAAATGCATGTATATATTCAATAAACATTTCTTCAGAAGCACAGGCATGCATGCATTCTTCTAAGCTGTTCTTCCACCACCGTGACCGAGCAAGGGTACAATGCAAGGCTCGTAAATTTTTATATACGCTCTCTGGAGTTTAAATGAGTGCTCCATCTTCTGAAAGGTAGCCCTTAATTGTCACGAAGACTGTCTGATGCTAGTGAGCAAAGTATCAATGAGGCAGCCTATGACAGATAATTGCAGTTGCAATGAAAGCATCTTAACAAGAAATCCTTTCCCTGCCTAAGCTGCTCTAACACTGTAGCTATTATCAATGGTCACAAGGCGTTAATGAATTTTTGTACATACTTGAAAGGAGCCACAAGACACTTACCGAGGCGGCGGCACAGGTGGGCGCCTGCTAGCTCCACCACGGCGCGATCGGCCATGGGACATTTCGACCCTGACCCTTGTTCCACAAAGACGACTGCACATATTAAAGATTGGCAGACGATTGAACCACTAAAATGAATCTGAATAAGGATAGTGGATAGCCAACGTTAGGGAGAGCGAAATAGTATGAGCAAATCAAAATGATAAAATCAAGAAATGGTGAACTCTAACAAATTATCGGTATCACCGACATCATGACAACCTGTTGCTGAGACTGGAGTGAGGAAGACAGCCACCAATAAAAACACCAATTATGATTTGAATTGTGACAGTAACTAAAAGAGGAATACGAAATTAATTGGGCATGCAACGACAAGCTGCATACGTGCAGCGATCCAGGACAGAGTCCGGAGGCATGGCTACTTGTTAAGCCGGTCATTTTGAAAACTGCTAAGTCATTCGTGCAATCTTGCGAAGCAGTGAGGCCCCGCTTACCTGCCATCCAGAGCACGGCAGGCATCTTCAGCGTCACGTGAGTCCTCAAACTCGACAAAGGCAAAGCCTGGAGGGTTGCGGGCCACCCAGACATTGCGCAAGGGGCCGAACTTGGTGAAGGCCGCCTCAATCTCGTGCTTGGCTGCCCCGCTACCCAGGTTACCCACGTACACTTTGCAGTCAAGGCTCCACTCCCTGCCAGCAAATAGATAAAAAAGTGTGAGCAAAACATGGTATCGGAACAGGATGTACAGCACCGAAACAGGATGTACATGACTGACGTACTGCCGGTTCTCTCCATGTGCCGCAAAACCATTTCCTCTCATGTTCCTCTCCGCCCGGGTCAGGTGTGCTCAACGAAGAAATAACATAAAGTGTATTTCCCGCACAGACTGAAAACCGAAACTGCGATTTCAAAGCGAGCTCTTCGTCCGTTCGAAAACGATGAAAGCTGTACTAGGGTATCCAAGCGCCGGTGGCTCGAAGGACTGCCAAATGCAATTAATAAAAAGGCCGGAAACACGATCAGGAGCTGACATTACGAACGCCTGAATAAGACCCTAAAATCAAAACCGACCAACTGATGTTGAGGTGAGTGCGCAAATAAAAGGAATATAGACCTTAATGGCAAAGAGGAATGTTGGATCGATCGGGGGGCTTGTTTTCTGGCGAAAGGTGCATGAACGCGCGCTGCGAAGTAGCGGCCAGTGCTGTTCCACCGTCCTAAAGACCTCTGCTGGCGAAATACACTGCACTGCGGCAAACACAGGTGGCATCAGCCAGTTGATGCACCCACAGCACACGTGCCTGCGAAATACTCGGCTAGCGATCACAGCTTTCTCACGAAAGTTACCGTCACCTGTCTGTCTCTACTACGGCGACATTAACTAACCTTTAAATTCGAAACATTTACGCCCACGTCATTCGCAAAAAAAGCCGTTGGATTTTTGTTTAAGCGTGGCGCACAATTGCGAAAAGTGGTTCACAGCGCGACGCAGTCGGCCACACTGAAGAATGCAGCGAGGCGTAGCTACAAATAGGCTTAGGACTTCGGCATACGCTAATCTCGCCAAATGCTGCAGTTTTCAGGCTAACCGAAAAACCGACTCGCGCGTTACTGCGCTAGAGCAAATAGATCAAAAGTACTCACATTTTGAGAAGTTGAGCAGCCCAGTACTTTTTGCAGAGCTTTCGGCTTCTGAGCGTCCTACGCACACTCGCCGCACGGTCTTGAGTCCAAGCTCGCGGTAAACGCCCTCTAGCGGTGGTAGCAGCGGCGACGGTGCACGAGCCGAAATGGCGCTGGCAGCGGTCGCAGTACACAACCAATGAGAAGCGGCCGTGTGTGCTCTTCTTTTATTATTAATTTCAGCAATATCGGTGCACTATTTCTCTCTTCGTATGACTAGGACCCATTACGAAGAGCTCATTCGCAATCGATTAGGATCGATTAAGGCGTATTAAAAATTTCTAGAACTTCGTACTGCACTCATTAATCTCAAATGGACTTAACATTGATTGCGAGGACAAGAGATAACATTATGTAGAATTCAGATAAAATTAATGGGTTTCGCGGTGTAGTGGCACACCACAACTCGCGCAGAGCAACATTTAGTCCAAACCCTTTCATTACTCCACTGTATCAGTTTTCGCCCTCCCGAAATTAAGACACCTAATTTTCGTCCTACCAGACATGAAATTATGCTGTTTCCAGGCCGTGCAAGCTCTAGAATTTTATGTCGACATGCAAGTGAATTATTTTTGTTCACTGTTAGTGAGTAATGATGTCAAAAGACTAGACAGAAACCAATGCACCAGTGAAATGAACAATTACTGCCTAGTCCTTTGGATACAAGGCATATCAACAATGCAGGTTGCAAATTTCAGAGCCCTACAAGTTGGCCCATCATTACACTCAACCACAGCCACCATGCTGATGGTAGTGGTCATGTAGTGTATGCAACTCCACAGGTAGGCAAAAGCAGACACAAGAGGCATGATGACAGACAGCACAGTTTATTGTTCACAGCAAAAGAACGTATGGAGGTAATCATCTGTGGCAAGATGGCTTGTGGGCAGCTGAACTGATTGTGGGTATTTCACTTGGAATGTCCTCGACTCAATGACAACACAATTCCTCCCCACAGAACCTTTGCGGAAATTAAATTGCCCTACGAGAATGAAAACATCGCCACAGGAACAAATGAATGAGAAGTGCTATGCCTATTTAGCCAAGCTGAGGAGGTCGCACGTGAGATGTCTGCAATGTGGGTTTGGGAGAGAATGCTGATGAGCTTTTTCTTTTTGCTATTTAAATTGATGAAAACAGGAGTGATGAGATTTTCTGCTGCTGCTGGCACCTGCACTTAAAGAAGCATGTGTGCGTGTTCTCAGTCAAGGTTTCCATTGCGAGAATCTCTGCGACTCGGCGACTTGGATCCACTGCGGCCCCTCTTGGCAATGGGAGATCTGTCGAGGCAAAAATGAAGCATGGTTTGGTGCACGACAAAGACAGCACATCTATGTAATGCAGTGAGTGAAAATTATGTAAAACACAGGTGACATTTCTGCTGACCCATTCTGAGTAGTTCTTATACAATCTAAAACAATCTTCAGTACACATCTAAAACCAATGCCAAGCGATTTTTTTTTTCTTTCAAACAATCGCCAACAGTTCAGGTGGTGAAAGCTTCAACGAAAGTTTTTCAGAAACCTGAAATTTCCACTAATACTTGGTTCTATTCCTGATCTATATGTAACAAACTATCTATGGCACATCTCAATTTCTGTTATGCAGAATGCATAATATCAATGTAAAGAGCAGACTGCCAATACCCAAAGAAATAAATGAGATTCCATTTATTGTAAGTACACAAGGGTATTTGTTTTTTGCCAAAGCATGGAAACAATTCTGGTTCTGTCACACAACTGTGCGAAAGCACACCATGGCAATACAAAGGAGCTTTTCAAAACTCCAAGGAAATCCAACAGCTGGGTGGCAGAGTGTACAACTCAACTTTCGAGAAAATTAACAGTTTCCTGGTACACTTCATGAAAAAAACACCTGCTTCATGGCAAAGCCGGCATATCAGTATTACTAGAGCTGTACACTACAACACTGGTTCGAGGGTGCTAAATAATAAATGTACCCTGGCAGCTATAAAAGCTGTCGTTTCAGACCTACAATCGATGCACAAAATCGTAAGTTAGAAGAATCCACTGCCAGAGGGTTTCAGTGCTTAAAATTCCCGAAGCCTATAAGCACTAGATCCGAAGGGTCACGTAGCAGTGCTGCCAACAAGTCTGAGAATGAGATGAGCACTGGCTGCGTTGAAACTTATATCAATGAGCAACTTCCAGCGACTTCCAAGAAACGTGCAGAGCACATGTATTGCTTATCACACCCAGTGTTTCATTTCAGATGGCTAGATGCAGGCAGGCTAGGTTAGACATTCCATGACAAAATATTCCCTTTGGAGGTGTAGCACATCCTCTTATGTCATGCCCAGATACCTGCGCCTGCGGCATCACAAAGAAACAATATAAAAGCTTGTGCTTGGCCGGCGCGGCGAAGACAGGGGACAACTCCAATTGCATGCCTTCTCTCCTGTTTCTATTCGCCTCTGCGATTGTGTCGGCTGTAATATCGAAAGTGTTGCCTCGGGCCACCGGGTAGCGGTCAAAGCATGTCAACAAATACCGGTAGCTTGGCCGCTTTACCCGGTGGCCCGAGGCAACACCACTTTCTGAGATTACAGCCGCCACAATTGCAGAGGCGTTAGTCTCCACTTGCGTTGCACGGTTCGGCTGCCCGACAACAATACTCACTCACCGCGGCCGTCAGTTTGAGTCATCGCTCTTCGCAGAACTTCTAAAGCTGCTCGGAACAGCCCGTTTGATAAAAGCTGCTTACCACCCTCAAATGAACGGCCTCGCGGAACGCTTTCAGCGGCAGCTCACAGCAGCATTGACAGCGCACGGAACCCGAAACAAATGGGTCGAGTCACTTCCCCTCACTCTTCTGGGCATCCGATGCGCATACAAAGAAGAGCTCTCCTGCACCACAGCAGAGCTTCTTTATGGCACCACACTTCGCCTCCCGGCCGACGCCCCAACACCCCCTCGCCCTGCATGCTCCTACAGCCAGCGAATATGTGAGCCTGCTTCGTGCAAGCTTTCCGGATTCTTCGGCCGCAACCGGCGCGTCCTAACCAAGCCCGGGCAGCGTACATCATGCCAGACCTAGACAAAGCTTCACATGTGTTCGTGCGGTACAGGCCTGTGCGTGGTTCACTGCAGCCTCACTACCTCAGGCCCTTCCCAGTGCTGGAGCGTCTTCCATCGAACTTTGTTGTGGGCATGAATGGATCACGTGAACTATAGTACTCGAGCGCTTGAAGCCAGCCTACTGTGAACACGTGTCTCTTCTGTTTCGGCATCTTGCCTCACTATGCCACGCTCACCTCTGTCCCTTTGTCACTCATTCTCAGCCCGTCTCAAGGTTCATTGGGACCCACTTTGCCCGCGGCCATAGTAATCTTCCGCCGCAGTGGTCTGCTCACTTGGGGGGGGGGGGGGGGGGGGGGGAGCTCTGTAGCGCATCCTCTTATGACAAACCCCAATGCCGGCGCCTGAGCCATCACAAAAACAAAATAAAAGCTTGTGCTTGGCCGGCGAAGACAGGGACAAATCGAACCACATGCATTCTCTCCCGTTTCTCCTCTTTTCCTTTTGCATCGTCCCGCGCGCCTGCTCGCACTTTTGGGAAACAATAAACCAGTTCCTAACCAGATGTAGCTCTCGGTTCCTCCTGCATGCGCACTCTACAGAGGCAACCTCTAAGGGTTGTCAAACACCAGCTCAGTTCAAAATAAAGAATGATAGTGGTGTAGCAATTTCATTTTTGAGGTTATTAGTCAATGACACTAGACTGCTTCCGTCAATTTTGCTGGCCCAATTAAATCAAGTCAAAATTATCATAACTGGATTACCAGCAAGCAGTAGGCAAGGTAGGATGTCCTCCAACATGACTATATCATAATGTGTAAATCCTTGAGACTCTCTCTCAAAACTAAGAATTGCTTGTAGATTGCACACATTCGTTTCAAGGACTTTACTTCCTTTGGCATCACTATCTACGTCAAAACCTGCCGTAATTACTGAATTTAGGTGATTCAGCAAGACAATCATGTCTCAACCCCCATCCCTTCTACTATTTTAAGTTACGATAACTGCATAAAGCTTTTAAAGTTTCAGCAGTACTGTTAACCCGACCATACTGAACTCGGGTAAATAAAACTATTCTTTACATCGAACCACTTTTGATCACAGCAATTCATTAATGCGATTGCACGGAACATCAAACAAGAATGCCAGAACAATTGCTAGTACAGTATAACCTCGTTACGACGAATCTGCTTACAACAGGCATTCGGATAGTACATACCAATTTGCAGCGCTATGCTGATCTCCCTATCTGTACTATTGATCAAGATTCGTTTAAAACAGATCCGGGTACAACGAACATTCGGATATAATGAACTAAAATAAGAGGCCAGAAAAGTAATCAGCACTCCTTTACAGCGGACTTTTCACATCATTTGGCATACTTCCAGAACTGGAACAACAAGCCTACGGTGTCAACACAGGAGGCGACCGTGCTTGGCTTGAATCAATCTGGTTAATGAAGCTTACTATGACTAATGGCTAATGCACTGTACAAAAATCAATGCATAACTTTTAATGTTAGCGTTATCATAGCAAAAAAAAAATGTCTGCTTATCGACTTAAAAAAAACATTCAAGCAATACTTTCTTAGCAATTGCATGCTTTTGCTTAAGTAAAAAAAAAAAGTTGATAGCAAGCGCTCGCTAAGTAGCAGCCCCTCTCGAAACTCAAAATAGAAGTTACGGTTGGAATGGCGCTAACAGCGGGTGCTTGTCCGGCCGAGGCCGTTTTCGACGTTTTGTTAGTCCTTTCCTCATGTGTTGTGTGCATTGGTTCGTTGTGCATGTATGGTGTCATGGGGCCCACGGAGCCGAACACATAAGCCAATGCCGTGCGTTGTAAGCCACTGCAAGTGACGAAGCATAAACAGATATGCCTGAAAAACAAGCTTGATATCATTGAGCAAGTTGAGAAGAGAAAAGAGCATGTGGACGTCGCCGTAGTGTACGGCTTGTCGAAGGAAGTATCGGGCGACTTACAACCCAAGAGGTTTGATTGATATGTGGGGTTTAACGTCCCAAAACCACCGTATGATTATGAGAGACGCCGTAGTGGAGGGCTCCGGAAATTTCAACCACCTGGGGTTCTTTAACGTGCACCCAAATCTGAGCACACGGGCCTACACCATTTCCGCCTCCATCGGAAAAACCCAAGAGGTTTGTTTCAGCTCCGTAAAGCTTCATATCCCGACGTCGAAAAGGCCCTGCTGATGCAGCTTCCCGTCACCTGTTCGCAGAATATCCCCGTGAATAGACTGCTGCTACGAAAATGCGTGGAGCAACTTGCGTTTGTTCTTAAGGGGGGACGCGGCACTTCGGGACCGAAAATCAGCCAAAAAATCGAGTTTTCGCGGACCTTCTTTTCGCGTTCCCGACATCATTGCGCACCTATTTACAAAATTTCATAGCCGAATACCATCAACTTTTATCGTTATTCAACTTTAAAAAACCGAAAACGGGTGTCCTGCCCTTTAAATTGAGGGCGAATAGCGCAGGTTTCGGCTCTACGATACGCGGGAACTACGCGCTCGATCGGCGCCATTTTGGTCTTGTTTGAAAGAACGCGTTTTCAGCTGTTTTTTTTTTTTTTTATTTAGTAAGCAACATTGAGCGTTTCCCCGGCTCGAAAAACGGGGCCTCAAAGACGAAGAGCCGCGCTCACTGCCATTGGCTAAACGGCGCACGTGACTGAAATGGCGCTTTCCGGTTGGCTGGAAGCTCGCGGCTTGCGCCTGCATACGCGACCCGACGCCATTTTTGAAAGGGTTACCGCTGTGACGCCTCGAAATCGGCAGAGCACTCTGAAGCTTCTGATCGTATCGCCATGCCTGGAAACGCAAAAAAGTATCGGACCGTGCACGCATTTGGTCGCAGGAAACGCAAAGGTCGTGGAAGAAAGTCTACGAAGTCATCAGAGCCCTTGGTTGACTCCGACGAACTATGTGTCTACGCTCCGCGGCCGTTCAGCGATGGTGCGACCGAGCGCGTTGCCTCCGACGACGACGACGGTGAAGCGAACTACGGACGACTACGAATCGACGCCAAGGTGGTGACAAACGCCGAAGTTGAAGAAAATCATGCCCGGGAGAAAGCGACGCTCGACCGGCTTTCATCGGCGCCAGCAACTGCACGGAAAATTGACTTTTTCACCGCGAGTTGTAGCGAGGCAACCGCACAGGACTCGGACCACGCTGCTCCTTATCTGCTTATGCATCTAGATATCCTAAACGCGATAATGGGTGC